GCACTGTCAATCGCTTGTTGTTTTCGTGAGCCATATTCGCCATTGTATGAAATCAACCGGAAGTGAACTGGGCAACAAACTGTGTCATTTTTTGATCACAGCGCCGCTCAGTGGATGGAATTTTGGGAGAGCAGAACGCCCGAATTAATAATGGAAAATACACACGCATGCACCCCGCACGCACACACACACACACTGGCACACACAGGCACGCACACACACGCAGACCCACACATACACGTTTTTGTTACCTGGTGGGTCCCTTTGACAGGGCCGTTCAGAATGGGACCCATAGATATAATCTTTTTTTACTGGGACTACTTTAAGTAATACAAAACAGTCAATAGAAACCAAACAACTATTTTAAAGGAATTTTATTTTAGATTTTGTTTTCGAATTGCAGTGATTCTATTTTTGACATAGAATTTAATGCCACTCCATGTCCGATGTCTAAGGTCATCTGGTGAGGCATTAATGCAGGCCAGACTTCCCAGGGACCTTTCCAGTCTGTATGAAAGGTGTCATGGTCTTCTCCACAGCCTTCACCTCAGATGCAGACCATGGCTTTCTTACACGTTCTAGGGAGAGAAATAAAAATATATTAGCAATATACACTCCCAGGGTTAGGACCAAGCAGCCTGGCTGTAATCCCCCACCTGGTACACTTACCAGAAGGGGCACTGCCACTACCATGGGGTGCATCTGGATGAATGGTTGAAGGTTCTCCGCTTGAAGTTTCTTTTAGCCCGTCCGTTTGTGAGAGGATCTCTACTGCTCTCCCTGTCGCACAGAAAATAAAAATACAAGTGGCCTTTAGGGGAAAAAAATCATACATATTTTAATAATATCAAGAATTACCTTCAGGCTCAATTTGTATCTGGTCGAGGCTCTTTCCTTCGAATTCCGTCACTCTTCCCTGCTCCATGGCCATCAACACTTTGCTGATTTTGGCCAGCTCCAGTGTCCCCTCTGGTAGTCTGTAATATTGCCTGTGGATGCGAATGTCATGGCCGAGGAAGTTGGCAAGTATGTCCATCTCATTCTCTTTCATATTGAGAACTGTAGACATAGTAGCTATGTGCTTTCTAAGTTTGGTTGAGGATAGCATCTCTGGATGCACCGCACCACATTCTTTGGCTACCTGGCGTAGGGAGTCTGATCCCCTGATGTGGGTGTCTGCGCCCGGGCGGGAAAAGAAGTATGGGTTATGGTCAGAGATGGAACAGCCCCTTTCTGTTCTCCACCAGCACCTCCATCGAAGCAATCATTTCAGGAGTCAAAAGAACCGGCACTTTCCGACTTCTTTTCCCTTTAATTTCAATGCGTTGAAAATGCTGACACAGCTTTTTCTCAAGTTGGGACAGTCCCAGAGCAATGTCAGAATGGATCCCAGTCTTACTTCTTAAGGTAAAGGCTGTCAGTGGCATCTTTGAAACCTCACCTTCCCTTCTTCGATTGAAAATGATGACCTCACAAAGAGTCAAAACTGCCAGTTTAGACCAATGCTTAGACGTTGGCTCACTTATTAGGGTTTGCACATATTCAGGTCGACATACCTCAATATGTGCATGCATGGCTCTAACGTCCTCAGTCAGAGGGAGCAGGTCCGGAGTGTTCCACTTGGCTTGCCGGAGGGTCTGTAGGGCAGCAGAAGAAACACAGACGTCCCACCTCTTCTCAAAAAGCAGCCGGCTTCGTTGGAGGTTTTTAATAAATAGTTCATCAACACAATGCTCCATTTTTGAGTCACATTCAAGAATATCTGCTAGCTTTCTGAGGCTATGGCCGAGTTTGAGGGCCAAGGATGGAGTCTTGTATTGATTTGTTTCCTCATCATATCCAGCCACAGACCTGACTGCATCAATCACATGGTTAAAGTTGGAAGGAATAAAGAAATCCTTAATTGTTTTCAGTTTCCCTGCGGTTTTTGCTTCGTTAATTAACCTACCGACTTCTCTCATTTTCTGCCTAATGTAATCATGCTTAGTCTTATCATGCCCGTGTTTTAAGTACAGGTGCTCTCCGAGTCTCAGAATCCCCTTTTCTGCTTTGACAACACCCGTGACCTCATCCTGATGCATTGCCGAAATTAAAGACCACAGCTTTTTGCTGATGCCCTCCGGTACAGGCTGGGCTAGGGAGCAGAGGGACTGGACCCTACTTCTACCTGGTTTAGCCTGGTTTAGCCTGGGCATCTTTCTGTGAAAGCCGGCACCTGGCCACATGCCTCCACAGCGACTTTCGCTTAAGCAATGCCCCACAGTCTATACAGTGCAAAAACTCACTGGATTTAACTGGGGAATTTGGCTGTTTAGCTGGGACTAAAGTTCCAATGCCGGCCTTTAAAACCTCAATTGTGCTCACGGTTTCCACTATTCCTGATCAAATCAAACTGAAGTTTACGTGCTTTAGACTTCACAGGTAGAGCCAATGCTCTGGCTACGTCACTTTCATTTCCATGTTTTCTAGTCAAATGACGGGACATTTTGTGGCAGGACATTGAACAGTAGAGGCAGAAGTGTCTCTTGCTGTAAACCCTGCCCCCATTTTTCTTCTTTTGCAGCTGCATGATAACAATCTTATTTGCCTTTGGTTCGTCACTTTCCGAGTCTTGAAGAAAAGTGTTTTTGATTTTTCTTTTTCCATACTTTTTTACAGGTTTCTTCTTGACAGTTAAATCGTCAGATTCTGAGTCGACTTCATCAATTAGGGACTCTTGACTAAGCTGCACAAACAACAAATAATTTGTAATAATTCTATATAACAATTTGAAGTCATGACTTGTAGTCAGCACTTACCAGTGGGTTGTAAGCGTGCGCTTCAGTGTGCTCCTCCATGATGTCTTGCAGCCTAATGAACCACACACTTGCACCTTTTTCTAGCCTGACACCTGATTTCCTCTGTTGTGCTGCTCCATGATTGGCTCCAGCCTGCTGGACTGAAATTGCCCCAGTGTGCCCCTCCTTGATATCCCGCAACCCACCACCAGGGTTCCGACACATAACACACTTTTTTCAGGAAAGTAAACCTCCAGGGGTCCTTTCCATATTTTTACAGAGACTGCATAAGGACCGTTAGAAAAGCATTACCCATTGATTATTAAGCTTGGACCAGTGGGGTCCGGTGTTCGGGCCCCACCACGTAAAACCAGTCCCCATGACGTGAGTGGAATCTCAGGTTATGGAACCCACCAGGAGTTGAAAACAAGTGCACACTGGCACACACAGGCACGCACACACACGCACACACACTGGCACGCTGACACACGCGCACAGGCGCGCATACAGGCACGCACACAGACACGCACACATACACACACTAAAAGTTCTACAAACTGAACAAGTAATGCGCTGCAGTACGTGTGTCTATACTTTGTGTCAAATGTAAACGGTTGGCTCTGCATCGCTAACTTACCTCTTTGTTTTCATCACGACTTGGGCACATGTGAGTCCAACAACCCAAAACATTAGCATACAGCACCGGCTCCACACGAGTCAGGGTGCGTTCACAGACGGGGGAAACCGTGGGAATTTTTAGCTTTTGGCGGAAAAAGTGCGGAAGATTCTCAAGATTAACATTATTACATTGCCGTCTTCCGAGGGGGGCACTGGGGGTGGCAAGGATATTTTTAGAGGTGGCAGTGGCCACCCTGGCTACCCCTCTGGCTCCGCCACTGCTGTCCTTTGGAGAGGGCGACGGCCTGGTGGAGTTGTGGGCCAATCCGGCCTTTCTCCCTAAGGTCATCACGTCGGCCTTCAGGTCGAGAGTGATCAGGATTAGGGCATTCCATCCGCCGCCGCATGCCTCCCCCGAGGAGGAGCGGCGGCACCTTCTGTGTCCTGTCAGAATGCTGAGGCATTACCTGGCCATGACGTCTTCATTCAGGTTGGTTGATCAGCTGTTTGTGTGTCTGGGCCCCAAGACAGACACGCTGTCGGCTCAGCGGCTGGCGCACTGGGTCGCCACGGCTGTTCGGCGGGCGTATCAGGCTCAGGGTCTGGCCCCCCCGGTGGGCTTCAGGTCGCATTGCACGCGTGGGGTGGCGGCCTCTACGGCCCTCCTCAGGGGGGCGTCGGTCGAGGACGTGTGCTGTGCGGCTTCTTGGGCGTCGTACTCTTCTTTCGTCCGGTCTTATCTTTTTGATGTGTCCGACCGGTCGGTGGCCCATTCCGTGCTGAGTGCAGTGGACTGAGTTGAAACCGTGAGGTTCCTCCTCTCAGGGGGCCTACGGTTGACTTTCCGCCCTGGTTCAGGAGCTCTTGGGAGAGGCGTCCTACAGGTGCGGTATGTGTGTGCTTTTGGTCAGTCAGGTAGTCCACGTCAGGAGCTCTTGGGAGAGGCGTCCTGGGACTACGGGTGACCTTCGGTCTGTGTTACTTGGGGGTGTCCTTGGGAGGAGTGGCCCTGTAACACGCAATTGCTTCTTCTGCCCTGAGTCCTCTCACTGTGTGAGGGTCTTGCTCGGGCGGAGCTCCAATCACTCTTCGCTGGCCTGCTGGGAGTACATGTTCCTACGGCCTCCGCGTTTTGTCCCACTAGCGAAGTCCGCTAAGGGACGTAGCACCATGACGTAGAATTAATAGTTACCTAATGTAACTTAAGTTCTACAAATAGGTGCGTAGTCCCTTAGCTACGAGCCCATCAGGCCAGCCCCGCTTGGCAGAGTTCAAGAGGGGGCGCGGCTATGGAGCAGGGGCCTTTATAGAGGAGGGTCGCTAGTGATTGGAGCATTTTTTGTTGATCTCTCTGGCGTCTGTGACCTGGGGGTCACGTGATATCCCACTAGCGAAGTCCGCTAAGGGACTACGCACCTATTCGTAGAACTTAAGTTACATTAGGTAACTATTAATTCTCAATCTTTCATCATTCTGGCACAGACGAGTATTTAGTGAGGTTTTACAAAAGTAATGTCCATGCAATAATCTGAAAGCAAAAAACATGACTTTTCTTTAGGGATTATCTCTTTTTGGATTGAATGAAGTGATCTTGCCAGTAATGGTATGAAGAATGAGACACAGGAGAGAGCACCCACAGGAGAGGGCACCCACAGGAGAGAGCACCCACAGGAGAGGGCACCCACAGGAGAGAGCACTCACAGGAGAGAGCAACCACAGGAGAGAGCACCTACAGGAGAGAGCACCCACAGGAGAGAGCACCCACAGGAGAGAGCACCCACAGGAGAGCACCCACAGGAGAGAGCACCCACAGGAGAGAGCAACCACAGGAGAGAGCTCCCACAGGAGAGAGCACCCACAGGAGAGAGCAACCACAGGAGAGAGCTCCCACAGGAGAGCACCCACAGGAGAGCACCTATGGAGAGAGAACCTACAGGAGAGCACCTAAAGGAGAGAGCACCTTCAGGAGAGAGCACCCATGGAGAGAGCACCTACAGGAGAGAGCACCCACAGGAGAGAGCACCTACAGGAGAGAGCACCCACAGGAGAGAGCACCCACAGGTGAGAGCACCCACAGGAGAGAGCACCCACAGGAGCGCACCTACAGGAGAGAGCCCCCATAGGAGAGAGCACCCACAGGTGAGAGCACCCACAGGAGAGAGCACCTACAGAAGAGCACCTATGGAGAGAGCACCTCCGGCACGGTGGCTGAGTGGATAGCACTCCTGCCTCTCAGTAAGAGGGTCCTGGGTTCGAATCCCGGTCGGACCAGGGCCTTTCTGAGTGGAATTTGCATATTCTTCCCGTGTCTGCGTAGGTTTCCTCTGGGTGCTCCGGTTTCCCCTACCACTAAAAACATGTGCAATACTTCTGGGATGTGCCTCCTGTACTGGCCCCGCTCCCATCTCTGTGTGGAGTGAGAGACAAATGCTCAAAAATTAACAATAGTTAAGCGCTTTGTAACTCTGGTCTGTGAAATATGGAAGACCGTGGCTGCCAAAACAATAAATATATACAGAAATAAATAAATAGATAAATAAATTTAAAAAAGATAAAATTTGCAAAGAAATGCATGCAATTATGAGAATAAGTGCATTTATTTCTGTATTTATTTATTTATTTATTTATTTATATATTTATTTATTTATTTTTGTATTTATTTATTTATTTCTCTATTTATTTATTTATTTCTCTATTTATTTATTTATGTATTTGTTGCATTTATTTATTTATTTCTCTATTTATTTATTTATTTATTTATTTATGTATTTGTTGCATTTATTTATTTATTTCTCTATTCATTTATTTATTTCTGTATTTATTTCCGTATTTCTCTTAATGATATGCAAATCATGGGGTGGGCCGGGATGCCTCTGCTGTAAGCTCATTGGTTAATCATAGGCGGTCATGTTGAGATCACTGTGTTCTCGCTATACTGTAGTGTTGACTATGGAGCAAGGAAAAAGATTAACCAATGAGCTTACAGCAGAGGCATCCCGGTCCACCCCATGATTTGCATATCATTAAGAGAAATACGGAAAAAAAAAATAAAAAAAAATAGAGAAACAAATAAATAAATAGAGAAATAAATAAATGAATGCAAAAATAAATACAGAAATTGAGAAATAAACGTATGAATGCAGAAATAAATGTATGAATAAATACAAAAATAAATAAATAAATAAATACAGAAATAAATGCACTTATTCTCATAATTGCATGCATTTCTTTGCAAATGTTATCTTTTTTAAATGTATTTATTTATTTCTGTATATATTTATTGTTTTGGCAGCCACGGTCCTCCATAGTGAAAGGCGGTTTATAGATAAACATTACTCACTTACTTACCTACAGGAGAGAGCACCTACAGGAGAGAGCACCCACAGGAGAGAGCACCTACAGGAGAGAGCACCCACAGAAGAGAAACAGGAGAGGTGATTGATGGTCCTCCACTCAGAACCTGTTGATGGTCCCAACTTAAGACCTATTTATAGCCTCTGTGTATGGAGCAAATTAATGATGTAGAGTCCAAAAAACTCTGTAAAAACCCAAAACTTATTATTATTATTATTATTATCATAATCAATAATAGAGGGGCGTCAGTAGCTCAGTAGAGCATTGGCCTTTGAGCCTGAAGGTCGTGGGTTCGAGCCCACCATGAGACCTTCTCCACCGACTCCCACTGATGACTGCTGTCGTTGTGTCCTTGGGCAAGACACTTAACCCCACTTTGCCTGAAGCCCCCGCTGAAAGATCTCAGCTCCTGTGGACTCACCACCTGCAGGAGGATCAGTGAGGGGCTGGTGCTCTGTGAACTGGGTGGCAGTCCCGACCCAGAAATGGGGTTGGGGCAAGAAAATAGATGGATGGATGATATTATTATTATTATTATTAAATAATAATTTTTTGTTTTTTATTATTATTATTATTATTTATATTCTTATGTTTCGCAGTACTAGTTTTGACCACCAGAGGGAGGCATTGATTAAATGACACTGACGCTGCCACAACAAAGCTTTGGCCTTTTATCAACTTGAACTGAACTTGTCCCTTGTTCTTGTCTTTTCTGAGATGGGAGCAGCTTCCATGAGTGAGTTTAATATGTTTTTAGTTCCTCTTGTGTTTATATTGTTTAAATCACAGCTGGTTAATGTTGATATTCAGAGACAAACTTCTATGAGTCCTTCTTTGTGGGAAACTGTAGCGTAATGTTTCAAGGGCAGTGTTCCAGGATTATTAATAACCTTCAAACTCATGTGGATCTATAAAAGAACAAGGCTCATGTTTCAAACAGAGGGAGGAGGTGCAGTTACGGGAACAGCCCCAGGACCGAGGGAGGCTCAGATCCCACTGCCAGGAACCGACCTGTCACTCAGATTATGAATGTCAAGGTGAAGAAGAAAAGAAAAAAAAATTACGGCTTTTTTGTTTTATTTAGGATATGTTTTCTACAAATGACAAAATAACTGATTTTGACAAGAAATTTAGCCGTTAGTTCTGTGACATCTCAGTGCCATATGAACCAAGAGTCAGACCTTTGGAGCTGTGCAGGGCAGGGCCTGGTTAGTGCTGTGATGGGAGACCTCTGGGAACAGCAGGTGCCACAGTGGGGCGGCTGTAAACTGTGGTTGTGTCCTTAGGCAAGACACTTCCCCCACATTAGAATGAGTCTGGTGTGTTTGTGTGAATGGTTGGTGGTGGTGGGAGGGGCCGATGGCACAGACTGGTTGCCTCGCTTCTGTCAGTGTGCCCCAGGGCAGCTGTGGCTACTGTTGTAGTTTATCACCACTGTGTTTAGGGTTAAGTGAGTGAAAGAATGACATAAGAAGCGTCTGTGAGTGTTCTGAAAAGTGCTGTATAAAACCTATTTATTATTATTATTATTATTATCAAGTACAGCTTTAAAGATTCAAATGAAGTTACAGACACAAGTCCATTCACAAAGACGTTTAATGCAGACATCAGGAAGTGTATTTTGTCCACATTCAGATAAAGTAAGACATCTGTTATTAGTATTTACAACATAAATATACAAATATATATAAAACTATCAGTAACAACCATCTGTATCTTTAAGCAAAGGATGTAAACGTTTGGTGTGAAGATCCACCATTTTACTGTTTCTGGCTGAATACAGATGTTACAGCGTTTAAGACGAAGAAGAAGAGGAAGAGGAAGCTGTGGAGGTGCAGACGCTCACTTCCTGTTTACGTCGATTAAAAAGACAAGTGCAAACAACGTCACAACATGTCATTTCTAAGTTATTAATACAAAAGGTGTCAGGTACAAAAAGACGGCTCCAGACCATGTGACATTATACACTGCAAAAAATGATACAAAAAAATAGGTCATAAAAGCTTGAATTGAGAGTTTTAACTTAACCTGACACATTCTGACGGTGTTAAAACTAGATTATCCAATGGGACAAAAACATTTTGTCTTATTTCAAGAACTGCTGCTTTATCTCTTCATTCCAAAGACATTTTTTGAATCTTTTTGAAACAAGATCATTTTGCTTTGTCCCGTTGGAGAATCTGGTTTTAAGGCTGAGTCAGAATGATTGACATTAATACACATTTTTGCCAAATTTGAGAAATTTTGTACGTGTTTTTCATGGCTTTATGCAGTTTGGTAGATCACACTCAGAATTTGTGAGAATTCTCAGTTATAATTTTAGTTGGAACTTTCTCAAAGAACTTTAGGAACAAAACACTGTTCTCATTAAAGCTCAGGTACCTCACTTTCAAACCATCACAAATATCCATCTAACTTTTAATTATTAGCTCTAAAAACTCTCACTAGTTTTCACCAATCTCTCCACTGCCTCCATGACATATTAGTGCCATAGGCCAAGGAGCACAGGGACTGGCCTCCTCTGGGACTGAGGAGCACAGGGACTGGCCTCCTCTGGGACTGAGGAGCACAGGGACTGGCCTCCTCTGGGACTGAGGAGCACAGGGACTGGCCTCCTCTGGGACTGAGGAGCACAGGGACTGGCCTCCTCTGGGACTGAGGAGCACAGGGACTGGCCTCCTGCTGGGACTCTGAGGAGCACAGGGACTGGCCTCCTGCTGGGACTCTGAGGAGCACAGGGACTGGCCTCCTGCTGGGACTCTGAGGAGCACAGGGACTGGCCTCCTGCTGGGACTCTGAGGAGCACAGGGACTGGCCTCCTGCTGGGACTGAGGAGCACAGGGACTGGCCTCCTGCTGGGACTGAGGAGCACAGGGACTGGCCTCCTGCTGGTCCCAGAGTCAGGACTAAACTCATTCTCACAGAGCTTTCTATTGGAACAAACCATGCGTATTGTTTATAATAAAAAAGTTAGGTACCTCAGCTTTAATACTTTGTCACATGGTAGTTCTGTGACACCAGGACAAGAAACAATGTAACACTATGAAAGTTTTGATGCAGATAAAAACTCTAAAAACAGTGTCACGTTGGCACAGGGAGAATATCGTCTCCAACAGTTTCGATTTATTCTGAGAAAAAACTAAGACTTAAAGAATGTAAGTTTTCTCAAAGATGTACTTTAAAAAAATACTATAAAAGGGCTGAACATATTTAGAATTTTTATGAGAATCGATCATTTCATAAAAAGTCATTGCACTTTTTTCCAGTAATCTATATTCTTTAAATCTCTCAAAACGGCTCGAGGTTTCTCACTCTTCCTCGCTGGGTTTTTGATCCAGGACAGAGGCATCAAACTCATTCTTATCTGGGGCAATATTAAAGTAGTTCTAGAATTTAATATGCTGCTATCCAGAATATATAACTACAATATGTGTTTATAATATTTCGGGTGTTCATTTTGACATGTTCAGATGAATTATGTTTAAAAAACTGCTTTGAAGTGGCACCTTTTCACTTCCGCATAGAAACGCTAGGGGGCGCCAAAATGGCGGCGATGACGTAGGAGAAGGACCTCTCACAGCAGCAGCAGCAGTCTGGGCTGAATCTGTAGGAGGTTTCACTGTCATCTGAACAAGGTATAAACATGTTTACATCAGTTTGTACATAATAGTGTGCAACTCTTTTAACCTTTTAGCCTTATTTGTGAGATTCAAGCTAATTAGTGTTGGGCAAGTTAGCTAACTCTACTTGATATCATAAAACATGCTAACAAGGCTAATATTCGTTTTTACATTATGCCAGTCTCACTTTGCCTTAGATTTATTTACCACAATGTACTTTGTAATATTCAAAAATGCTAACACCTATTAACGGTTTAATTAGCATTTTTATCAGTGATTGCATCACATGTAGTCTATGTTTTCAACTTCTGCAGCTTTTTGTTCATAAAAGTAAAATATTTATTTAATTCAAGTTATTTTGATTAGCATTTATGGATATTACAAAGTACATTGTGGTAAATAAATCTAAGGCAAAGTGAGACTGGCATAATGTAAAAACGAATATTAGCCTTGTTAGCATGTTTTATGATATCAAGTAGAGTTAGCTAACTTGCCCAACACTAATTAGCTTGAATCTCACAAATAAGGCTAAAAGGTTAAAAGAGTTGCACACTATTATGGACAAAACGGATGTAAATATGTTTATACGTTGTTCAGATGACAGTGAAACCTCCTACAGATTCAGCCCAGACTGCTGCTGCTGCTGTGAGAGGTCCTTCTCCTACGTCATCGCCGCCATTTTGGCGCCCCCTAGCGTTTCTATGCAGAAGTGAAAAGGTGCCACTTCAAAGCTGTTTTTTAAACATAATTCATCTGAACATGTCAAAATGAACACCCGAAATATTATAAACACATATTGTAGTTATATATTCTGGATAGCAGCATATTAAATTCTAGTACTACTTTAAAAAACAAAACATCTGTTTGGGCCAAAAGTTAATCGTGATTTTCTTTTGACCTATTTTTGTGTTTTGACAATTTCGTTTTACTGGACAAATATCAAGTAGAGACTGATGAACTATAAAAATATATATTTTCAAACCTGTACGAGTGTAAATATTGTGTTCTGCAGGTAAAAAAAAAAAAATGAACTAACTAACTTAACCTCAGATTAGTTCGTTAAATGATGTGGTTGTTCTCCAGAAAAAGTATAACATGCCATAGTATCCCAGTACATTACACTGCAAAAATCTATCATAACTGGAGCACTTTCTGACTGCCTTAAAACAAGATTCACCAATGAACAAGAAATGAGACTAAACGACTTTGTCCCATTGGAGAATCTAGTTTTAACTCAGTCAGAATGTGTCCGATTAAGATAAAAACCACATGATTCAAGCATTCCCTCATATTTGATCATTTTTTGCAGTGTAGCTTCAATGCTGCAAGTTACTATAACAAAGATACGTAGAAATCATTTTAAGGGCCTCTAAAAATTGTCTTGTGGACCGAATCTGGCTCCTGGCCCTGAGTTTGACCTGCACAAAAACCTCTGCAATTTCACGAGTAAGACACATTCTTTGATCCTGGCCTCCATAAAAACGTCCAGCTGTGTGCACTCAGGAGGTAAACACGGGGCTGGTTTATGGAGTCCAGAGAGACCAGGGTCCCAGGGTCTCAGGAGGTGCTGCTCCTCTTGCGGGTGCGGGGCTTCCTCCTCAGGATCTCCTCCTCTTGGTCACTTTCACAGTCTCTCTGCAGGAACACGATGCAAAAACATAAGAATGAAACTTCATGGACAAAAACAGGATGTGAGAGAACCTTTCCCACACTTGTCACATCGGATTTGGTTTGATTGTTTTGTCCTGCTTTACTTCAAGGTTGAAAAGTAATTTAGAGATTTTGTTAAACCAGGCCGGGTAACTTGGGGTTTCAAAACTAAAAATAGCAACTTTGGTAAATGGATTTATTCTGAAATGTCTTCATGATGTTTAAATATTTAGAATTACAATGCAGTAAGATTGTGGGAAGATCCAGGACATGTTAGAGGACAGCCTCAGTCCTGGATCTACAGCCTCAGTCCTGGATCTACAGCCTCAGTCCTGGGTCTACAGCCTCAGTCCTGGGTCTACAGCCTCAGTCCTGGGTCTACAGCCTCAGTCCTGGGTCTACAGCCTCAGCCCTGGGTCTACAGCCTCAGTCCTGGGTCTACAGCCTCAGTCCTGGATCTACAGCCTCAGTCCTGGGTCTACAGCCTCAGTCCTGGATCTACAGCCCTAAAGTTGAATCCAGTCTAATCTAACACTGCAGAGAGAGTGAAGATTTCCCTTTTCTTACCCCGTCTTGTAGCTGCTTCGGACTCTTCTTCATGATCCGTGTCAGGTGATTGCAAAGCGCCACGATCCTGAACGAAAACTGCGGAGACGAGAGAAACCTCACTTTGTTGGTTTGCTCTGAGCACAGACAGAAACCGCCTCAAACCGGACCTTACCTTCCATCTGCGTCTGGCGTACTGTCTCTTAAAGTTCTCTAAGTTCACCACCGAGAGTCGTTTGACCATGGCCTGCCGCGGGTTCAGAGGCTGTGGAGAAAAAACACATGTGCCATTAAAGCTGGGGGACCTAATTCTCCAACTGCAACAAGTGGAACTACTTAAAAACTTCTACCGTAAATTCCGGACGATAAACCGCAGGATTTTTCCTTCATTTTGAAGGCTGCGGTTTATAGTGAGGTGCGGTTTATAGTAAGGTGCGGCGTATAGTAAGGTGCAACTTATAGTAAGGTGCGGCTTATAGTGAGGTGCGGCTTACAGTGAGGTTTGGCTTATAGTGAGGTGTGGCTTATAGTCAGGTGCGGCGTATAGTAAGGTGCGGCTTATAGTAAGGTGCGGCGTATAGTAAGGTGCAACTTATAGTAAGGTGCGGCTTATAGTAAGATGCGGCTTATAGTGAGGTGCGGCGTATGGTAAGGTGCAACTTATAGTAAGGTGTGGCTTATAGTAAGGTGCAGCTTACAGTGAGGTGCGGCTTATAGTCAGGTGTGGCTTATAGTCAGGTAAGTAAGTAAGTAAGTAAGTTTTTATTTATATACCGCCTTTTCACTGCAGGTCTGAGTCTCAAAGCGGTTTACAATTGTTAATTTTGGGCATTAGTCTCTCACTCCACACAGAGATGGGAGCGGGGCCAGTACAGGAGGCGCATGCTAGAACTATTGGACATGTTTTTAGTGGTAGGGGAAACCGGAGTACCCGGAGGAAACCTACGCAGACACGGGGAGAACATGCAAACTCCACTCAGAAAGGCCCTGGTCCGACCGGGATTCGAACCCAGGACCTTCTTGCTGAGAGGCGAGAGTGCTATCCACTCAGCCACCGTGCCGCCCGGTGTGGCTTATAGTCAGGTGTGGCTTGTAGTAAGGTGCGGCTTGTAGTAAGGTGCGGCTTGTAGTAAGGTGCGGTTTATAGTAAGGTGCGGCTTATAGTAAGGTGCGGCTTGTAGTAAGGTGCGGTTTATAGTAAGGTGTGGATTATAGTATAAAGTGTGCATTATAGTAAGGTGTGGATTATAGTATAAAGTGTGGATTATAGTAAAGTGTGGATTATAGTAAGGTGCGGCGAATAGTAAGGTGTGGATTATAGTATAAAGTGTGGATTATAGTATAAAGTGTGGATTATAGTAAGGTGCGGCGAATAGTAAGGTGTGGCTTATTGTAAGGTGTGGCTTATAGTAGGGTGCGCCTTATAGTAAAGTGTGGCTTATAGTAAGGTGTGGCTTATAGTAAGGTGCGGAAAGATTAAATGACCCTTGAAAAATGTGTAACGGACGTGATGCTTTCCGTCCATTTTTCTCAAAAAATTAAACGAGAAAAAAACAATGGTCTGGTTTTATATTTAAGTTGGTTAGCTTTATAAAAGTATCACTGTAAAAAAAAAAAAAAAATCTCTGAATCAAATGTGGACATAAAATAAAAATATGAAACGGATTTCCACAAAGCTGTTAAAAACAAATCTTTTGTTTATTAAATAAAAAATGTGCCGTGGTTTGGTTTCTTCTTCTTGTATTTATTTTACAAGGTTTTGGGCAAACACATTTATTAGTCATGAGACAAAAAGTCAGACAAAATGAAATAAATTCTGGTTTATTCACGGGAAACTTAAGACCGTCGCTACGGCAACAAAAAACTTTTAATAAATAAATAAATAAATAATGCACATTCAAGTGTCGATCAGCTCTGTGCGCCGCGGTGGAATTACAAAAAGCAAAAGCACATTTTAACAAAATATTTAAAGAAAGAAAGAAATGAAAAGGACGGAGGATGCTTCACACCTTAATACTTTAAAGAGTTCGTATCGATCTGTTTGTAAATCAAGTTTTTCAAGTTTAAAATGAAGTTAAACGCATTGTTATCAGTGCAGAATAGGCACAGTGCAAACAGACGGCAAATCAAAGAACACAAAACAAGAAAAGAATTAGCATTAAATATGAGTAATGTCTGTTTTCTCTCCGTACCAGTGACTTTCAAACAGTATTAAAGTGTGTTAAAGGAGAAAAGGCAAAAGAAACGACAGAAAAAGTGCATTTAGACACAAATAAGAACTTAGTGTAAAAGTGGTCTGTGTGTTTCATTTGTGTCCTTAAAGTAAAAACACATTCTCTGGTCCAGTGTCTGCGTTTACAAATATAATCATGAGTCTTAATGGTTTTCAGCCGGGTCCTTAAAGGGGCAGTGGCGGCAGGTTTTCACTCCAACCGAAGCAGTGGTACAGCAGACTCCGCCCATTTCCTCCAGTGAGTCCGGTCTTAACCTGAAGACCTGAGGAAACGGGTGGAGTCTGGTGTCCGGAGGTTTTAGCACCATCAAAAATCAATAAAAATACAGTACTAAAAAACAATAAAAGTTAAGAAAAAATCTGATGGGCCACAACAGGTTAAAGAAAGTTAAAAAAAATAACTTATAAATGGACCATGAGACTGGAATTATTATTATTTTTTATCATTAAAGCTTTGAAAAATAGATTGTAGAAAGTATTGGAGGACTTGAGCGCTAACGTCGCCCATAACGTTGGCTAATTAGCGCAAACATGATTCTAGAGTTAAATTCTCAGATAGCAACCACCTAGCAACCAAATATCCAATCAGGAGAGTGACTGGTCCTGATTGGACAGATACTGGGGCTCAAACCTGGATTATACAAAGTCAATAACAACACCGGGATCATGTAGAGCAGCGGTAGATTTGGCAAAGAGCTACTTCAAATTATTACTTATACAATTTTAGGGTCATTAAATAGAACATAATTAATAACATGCCATAGTAGCACAGCATAAGTTATAAGCCTTTTGTGGGTATTGACTCCTGATTCATTTAAATAAGCAACAGAGCAGTGTGAGGTTCCAGGGCCGCATAGAAATGTGAATCGGGCCGGATGTGGCTCCCGGGCCGCAGTTTTCCCAGGTCTGATGTAGAGTGTTAAAGCTCAGATTTTAAGCCAACACTTTGGGTCAGCTCTATCCATCCCTACACTGCAAAAACTGGTAATACACACGGAATTCAAGTGTTTTTATCTTAAGCGGAGTCCATTCTGACGGATTCTCCAACGGGACGAAGCCATTTGGTTTTATTTCAAGAACTGTGGCTTTTTTTTCTCATTCCAAGCGAGATATTTCTTGTATTTGTTTAAAACAAGATCATTTTGCTTTGACTCATTGGAAAGTGCTCAAACTAAGATACATTTTGTCAAATTTGAGCCATTTTGACTTATTTTTCATCTGTTTTTGCAGTGTATTCTTTAAAAACCTCCATTCGTTTCCAGTTTAAGGTCCTGCTGCGTGGTTTGAACTCTGCTCACACACAAAATCATTCTTCTTCTGTGGGTTTCGTGATCCTCGGGCCCTCTCCAGACAACAGCGACATCAGGACCTTAGACTCCAGCCTCATCACGTCCGTCCTCCTCAGCCTCTGCTTGTAGCTCGTCCCGATCCCCTCCAGCACCACGACCACGTCCCTCACACGTTTCTGTATGCTCCTCCTGCTCTCCTCCACCTCCCCGAAGGCTCGCCGGGCCTCGGACAGCTGCTCCCTGCTCCTCGCGCTCCAGGCCTCCCCTTTGCTGCAGTAGCGGAGCAGGTCCTGGAGCTCCCGGTGCAGACCCTCATGGACTCCCTCCGCCTGCTCCAGCCCGGACCCCGTGGCCCTCAGCTCCTCCAGCAGATGTGCAAATCCGGCCACGTTTGCGGACAGCGTGGTCTCTCCGGGCGCGGGGGGTTGGACCGAGTGGGTCTTGGGGATAAAAGGGCGAGGGACACGGAGTCAGAAGAGACAGAGACGGTCCGTTTCTCTGGGTTAGTACGACGGGGCAGTCACGGCAACTCAGACAAACGCATGCTTTGAGAAGTGAGTTTGAGACGGAGGTGGGAACTCTGTGACTCTACTTTATGGCACAGACTGGTTGCCTGCGCTTCGGTCAGCGTGCCCCAGGGCAGCTGTGGCTACTGTAGTTTTGTTACAGGAGTCGTTTACACTACTTTGCTGCTTACATATAATATAAATGCTATAACATCACTGTGGAGAATAGGTGTTTTTGTCCCAAACAAGAAGTCACAAACAGAGACATTGCTTCGGCTCTCGGTGCAAACAAGTTAAAAAGTAGAGAATAGAATAAGTCATGCATAAATAAAAATCTACATAACATTATCTTTAACCTTAACCTTTGCATTGGCACCTTGTGTATTATCAACTCATTGTCTGCCATTGACGTATTTGTCTGAGACCCTCTGTTTGACTGGGGATTACAGGACAATTAAAATAGCTAAAAACAAACTTATTTTTGCTGATGAAAGAAGACAATCCAGTCTTTAAGAATCTGGTTTCACATTTCACATAGTCTTAGGAAATAATATTCTGTGGGTCTTGAGAATCATTGAAATCATCAAAAACGGCAGCAGTCAATGAGAGTTCCGGTCATATCACATACAATCATGGCCCAGGTGTAGTTTTAGCAAAATTGATTAAATCTGAGATGATAATTGCTGAAATTTAAATATTTTCTCATTCCATGGAAGACATTTCTTGTATCTTTTCCAAACAAGATCATTTTGCTTTGTCCCATCGGCAAATCTCGTTTAAAGGCTCAGTCAGGAGATACATTTCACTAAATCTGATCTATTTTTGACCCACATGTTTCGCTTTTTGCAGTGTAGCCGTAGTATCTCTGCATCTCTGGCTTGTGTCACGCATTAAATCACTTCTTTGTCTTCTTTCACTGTCATTACACATTTCCACTTAGCTGTGACTTTACCGTAACACAAGTTCAGAGATTTTTTTGAGCAACACAAAAGTTGTCATGGCTTCTGGAGAAAGGGCGCGGTGACGGAGGCCGCAGCCAGAGCAAATATTCAGTTATGGGCGTGAGCCTGATGAAACATGTGTTTGTGGTAAAGCAGATAAGAGGCTCTTTCTCTCTGGTCCGAAGGGGTTTAAGACTCGAGAAAACACACTTCATCCAGAGACAGAGTGACGTCATCGGATCAACTCTGAATCTTTGGGAAATGACGGTGACACCCTGAAACTTGAGGAGATTGTGGACTACTTTGACCCATAACACACATGTATAGAGTTGTGTGGGAATGAGCCAAGTCTATAAAGTGTCCTATATTCTGCTACTTTGGTGAGGCTAAAGGGTTAAATGACTGACCTTACTCTAGGGGATATAAAATACAGGTTAAAGACCACATTGTTCATTCAAAGCAGCCAAATATATATATATATATATATATATAAATAAGTGAGAAAATCTATATACTGAATATGAGAAAGAGAATAGTGGGCTTTTTCTTTCTCATGGATTCAGGGAGTTTTGTTCAAGGCGTCGCGTGAAAATTAGAATATCCTCCAAAAGCCCTTTTACGTTTGTCATTCTCCTCACAATATGAAACTAATATGAGGACTAATGTTGATTAAAAATAAGATAAGATTTTCCATTGTTTGTTTCAGAGTTGGGAAAATTCAATGAGACTCAGACTGCATCCAACCAGATCTATTGTTTAATTGTTTAAGATAATACAATAAAATAAGATCAAATATAAATAAGCTTTACTGTCACAAGTATTTACAGATGTGTTCGTTGTACTTTAGCAGCAGAAAATATGAGCAGAATTAACAATAGTAATAATATCAACAGGTAAAGTGACTACAGTAATATATCAGATGGATATGTAAGAAAACAGTAATGATAAAAACAGTCTAAAGTGACTAGTAAGATAATTATGTTATTTAAAGTCGTGTTTGTATCCATCTACATTAAAATCTGTTTAAATGAATATAACACCAGCCCAGGGACTACAGGTGCTAAAACCTGCTACAACACGTCTCTTCTTTGTGTAAATGTTAAACTGTACACTGTCCCTGCTCAAATAAAGTAAGTAAGTAATGATTATTTATATAGCGCCGTTTACAGACCAAGGTACAGACCCAAAGGTACAGACCCAAAGGTACAGACCCAAAGGTACAGACCCAAAGGTACAGACCCAAAGGTACAGACCCAAAGGTACAGACCAAGGTACAGACCCAAAGGTACAGACCCAAAGGTACAGACTCAAAGGTACAGACCCAAAGGTACAGACCCAAAGGTACAGACCCAAAGGTACAGACCAAGGTACAGACCCAAAGGTACAGACCCAAAGGTACAGACCCAAAGGTACAGACTCAAAGGTACAGACCCAAAGGTACAGACCCAAAGGTACAGACTCAAAGGTACAGACCCAAAGGTACAGACCCAAAGGTACAGACCCAAAGGTACAGACCCAAAGGTACGGACCAAGGTACAGACCAAGGTACAGACCAAGGTACAGACCAAGGTACAGACCCAAAGGTACGGACCAAGGTACAGACCAAGGTACAGACCAAGGTACAGACCCAAAGGTACGGACCAAGGTACAGACCAAGGTACAGACCAAGGTACAGACCCAAAGGTACAGACCCAAAGGTACGGACCAAGGTACAGACCAAGGTACAGACCAAGGTACAGACCCAAAGGCACAGACCAAGGTACAGACCCAAAGGTACAGACCCAAAGGTACAGACTCAAAGGTACAGACCCAAAGGTACAGACTCAAAGGTACAGACCCAAAGGTACAGACTCAAAGGTACAGACCCAAAGGTACAGACTCAAAGGTACAGACCCAAAGGTACAGACCCAAAGGTACAGACCCAAAGGTACAGACCAAGGTACAGACCCAAAGGTACAGACCCAAAGGTACAGACTCAAAGGTACAGACCCAAAGGTACAGACCCAAAGGTACAGACCAAGGTACAGACCCAAAGGTACAGACCCAAAGGTACAGACTCAAAGGTACAGACTCAAAGGTACAGACCCAAAGGTACAGACTCAAAGGTACAGACCCAAAGGTACAGACCCAAAGCACTTTCCAATGTTCAGAGTCAGATATTGTTCCAATCCTTCCACACACGGTGATGACAGAAGCGAGTCCAGAACACACTGGACCATCAAAGCCTCTGACCCAACACCATCATTCACTCTCTCATTCACAGTCAGACCTATTGTGCATAAAGTACATACCAAACCAGACCAGAACAGACCAGACCAAACCAGACCAAGTGAGCAGTGAATTATCAGGTGAGTGGCACGTCTATAGACTCAGCTGCTCTCGTACAAAAAATCAAATCAAAATGATGTTCTATATTTCTGTTTATGGAGGGTGAGGTCACAATGGTGGGAAACAAACCGTGCTTTA